TAAGGCTCTGAGACAGGTTGAACTGCTTTGAAGACGCTCAGACCAAACCTTCTGGAAGAAGCAGAGACCAGCTGTGGTGGTTGAATGGGAATGGCCCCCATAGACTCATATATTTAAATGTTTAGCCATCAAGGAGTGGAATTGTTTGAGAAGTATTTTGAGAAGAATTAGGCCTTGCTGGAGTAGGTATGTCTTAGTTGGAGGAAATGTGTCTCCGGAGAGTGGGCTTTGAAGTTTCAAAAGCCAGGCCCAGTATTTCTCTCTGCTTGTGGATCATGAAGTAGCTCTCAGCTACTTCTCCAGCCATGCCAAGCTTCCCACTATGATGCTAATAGACTAAGCTTCTGAAACTGGAAGCCATCCCCAGTTAAATGCTTTCTTTCGTACGAGTTGCCTTTCAGAGGAGGTGTCTCTTTGCATCAGTGACTAAGATGCCAGCCAAGCAATTAACTGAGTCCCCAGAAAGGACACTCTGCTTCATTGAGCTCCTGCAGGCTGTGTAACTGCTGTAGATTCTCAGCTTTGTGAGCTGTCACCATGTCGGGGAGGGCTTTGGTGATGCAGTTGTCTTTGAGTCATTTCTGCTCCTGTAGGTAACCCCTTACCCATACTTATGTGTCACTGTGGTAAAACTCATTGATTCACAAGGTCAGACTTTGGTCTGTCATCAGTTTCCCTATTTGGGGTTCACATCTCCCCAGGAATAGTAACAGCTTAAGTACAGAGCCATCTTCTGTCATACAGCATATTTGAGGCCAGCTTTGGTTACCAGAGACCCTGCTAAAAAAAAAAAAAAAAAAAAAAAAAAAAAAAAAAAAAAAAAAGGGACACCCAGGGGTACACAGAAAAAAAAAACCGGGCTCAAAAAAAAAGAGCCAGGGGGGTAATGCATGCCTGTAATCTGAGCACTCGGGAGGCAGAAGAAGGCAGATCTCTAAGTTCAAGGCCAGCCTGGTCTACAGCGTGAGGTCCAGGACAGCTAAAGATAAGCAGAGAAACCCTGTCTCAAAAAAAAAAAAAACAACCAAAAAACAGCCTTGTAATCCCAGCACTCGGGCCACTGAGCTAGGAGGGTCAACCTGTTACATGACGGAGGGTACGGGGTAGGGGGGGTAGTGTCAGGGAAGACCTAACAGACGACTGTTCTGTTCGTGTTTATGACAAATGCCCTTTGACCTTCCCCTGGATGGACTGTCAAAAGCCCTCTGGCTTGGTTAGTTTTATGTCAGCTTAACACAAGCTAGAGTCATTTGGGAAGAAGGGCTCTCAACTGAGAAAATGCCTCTATCAGATAGACTTGTAGGTAAATCTATATTTTCTCAATTACTAATTTATATGGGAGTGCCAAGAGCACTGTGTGTGGTGCCGCCCTTTGGCTGGTGGTCCTGGGTGATCAAGACAACTGAGCAAACAATGAGGAAACGCCAGCAAACAACACTCCTCCATAGCGTCTGCTTCAGCTCCTGCCTTGAGTTCCAGGCCTGCCTTTCCATGATGGTAGACAGTTACTTGGAAACAAAATGACATAAGCCCTTTGCCCCTCTCCCCAATTTGCTTTTGGACAGTATTTTAGCTCCTTTCTTTCTTTCTTTCTTTCTTTCTTTCTTTCTTTCTTTCTTTCTTCCTCCTCCTCCTCCTCCTCCTCCTCCTCCTCCTCCTCCTCCTCCTCCTTCTCCTTTTTTGATTTTTTGAGACAGGGTTTCTCTGTGTAGTCCTGGCTGTCCTGGAACTCACTCTGTAGACCAGGCTGGCCTCGAACTCAGAAATCCACTTGCCTCTGCCTCCCAAGTGCTGGGATTAAAAGCGTGCGCTACCACCACCCGGTGTATTTTAGCTTATTAACAGAAATCCTAACTGAGCAGCCCAATTCAGAGAAGTATGAAATCCCCCCTGGACATCATTCTTGGGGACAACCTGTCAGGTGTCAGTGTCAGAGCACAGAGCATGGGCAGTGAGCAGTAATGGAGACGACCGAGGCTGCCAGACCTGCCCTAAACACAGCCATGCTCATGGGGACCCACGGATGCTGGGCAGCCAGAGGTTTGTGAGGTTCCTGGCCACGTGGGAAGGATCCATCTTTGTGAGATTAAGCAAACAAAGAAATGAGTTGATTCAGGCACATAGCACCCGCGGGTGCTCCTGCTGTCGCTCAGATTCCCGTGGGAACTCTGGCCATGTAGGAAGAGGTAGCTGAGGAACGGACAGAGTTGGAGCAGGCAGCAGACGGGGCTCGGGATAAGAAGAAGCGTGACGTGTGCATCCCAGGAACACGGATGTGATGGCTGGAGTTCCAGCTTCATTTTGGATAGACCGTGAAGACAAGGGCTGCCCAGGGACTCGTCAAGGAACTTTGGAAATCATCCGATTCAAGAGACAGGGTCTTGCTATGTAGCCCAGGCTGGATGCAAACTCTGGATGCGTCAGCCTGCACTCCTGAGTGCTGTGATTACAGGTGTGTGCCATAATGCCTTATGTCTATTGCCCCCTTCCCAGGCATCCGGAGGCCCCCAGCCCAGGGTAACATCTCTGACCCTGTCTGGTCTCCGCTGCTGTGACACCTGCCTCTTTGGCCCTGAGCTCTTGCCTGGACCAGCACTAAAGCATACAGCAGATTCACCCCCGACACCACCTGCTCTATGGGTGCTATCGCTCTGATTTCACAGTACTCGGGATGATCAGATTCCTTTATTATGAAATAGTGCCGCGTCTCAATTCTGCTTAGTTAGCAGCTAGGGTGCTGCCCGACACGATGATGGGCCTAACTGTGTGTCTCGGAGGCAAAGCTGACAGCTGTTTTTAGCTGTTTGATTTAAATTGCATCCACCCGATGCCAGGAAGGACTCCAGGGCCATGGAACCCAAGGTCCACATAGCTGTTGGCTCTGCCTCCTGTGGGACATTCTCTTCCCTGTGTGCCGAGAGCTTCCTTTGTAAATTCCATGAGCCTGTGTTGCTGTAGGTGACAAAGAAATGCCACAGAGGGAACACAAAGGGACAGGCGGAAAACAAAGGATTGTCCTGCTCCTCCAGCCTGGCTTTCCAATCAACTTCTACTCTGAGGTTACAACTAGATCTTCATGAATATTTATAAAAAAAAATCATAAACACAAAACCACACTAAAGCAGGTCTCTCCTTTCGTTCTCCTGTACTACGGTGTGAGTCTGAAATGTCTCCTGCAGGCTCCTGTTTTTACTGCTCTGTCCCCAGCTGGCTGAGTACTTTGACGGCTGTGGAGATTTTAGAAGGCTGGGCCTGGCTAGCATAAGTGGGTTACTAGGGGAAGGTCTTTGGAAGTTTTAAACATCCCCCTCCACTTCAGACACCTCACATCTGGTTTTTGCTTTCTGGTCTGAGAGCAGTGAGGGACTGGGATATGGTTCAGTGATAGAGCCCCTGCCTAGAATCCCCCAGTGAGGGGCTGGGGGCGTGGCTCAGTGGTAGAGCCCCTGCCTAGAATCCCCCAGTGAGGGGCTGGGGGTGTGTCTCAGTGGTAGAGCCCCTGCCTAGAATCCCCCAGTGAGGGGCTGGGGGCGTGGCTCAGTGGTAGAGCCCTGCCTAGAATCCCCCAGTGAGGGGCTGGGGGTGTGGCTCAGTGGTAGAGCCCCTGCCTAGAATCCCCCCCGGTGAGGGGCTGGGGGCGTGGCTAGAATTCAAATGACCCTAGAACCCGTCTCTATTACTAGAAAAAGAAAGGAAGAAAGGGAGGGACAGAGGGAGAAAGGTGAAGGAGTGGAAGAGAAGGCGACATGTTCTTCTTGCCCTTGTTTTTTTACATATGTGGTTTTGGGGAGTTTTCTTTAATGTGTGTAAGTGTTTTGTCTGCATACAGGTGTATACAGCGTGTATGTTCTGTGTTCATGTAGGTCAGAAGAAGCCATCCAATCTCCTGAAACTGGAGTTACAGACAGTGTGAGCCACCATGCCATGTGGGTGCTGGGAACTGAACTCAGGTCCTCTTCAAGAACAGCCAGTGCTCTTAACCGCTGAGCCTGAGCCGTCTCTCCAGCTTTGTGGAGGCCTTGGGAAGACCGTCTAACTTGAAGCTAAGTAAATAGGTCAAAGAAAAGGACATAGAGAAAACAAGGGGTGGGAGAAAAGAGGAGGAAGAGGAGGAAGAAGAGGAGGAGGAGGGGGAGGAGGAACTAGAGGAGATGTTGCTGAGCTTGTAGCTCTTCTGAGAGCAGCTGCAGGGACCCCTTACCAAGAGCGAGCCTCCCTGTCTGTCATCTGTAGCCCAGCTGGCCTTAACCTGCAGAGCAGCTAGAAATCAGGCAGATGGCCACTCCTGGCTCTCACCTTCTAGGAAGGTGCCTGAGGCTTGAGGGAAGGACCAGGGGCCCTGACCCTGATGCTTCATGTCTTCAGCCTCACTGGATTGTCCTGGATGTTCGGTGCTGTTAGGATTCCCATGCTCGCTTGCAAAAGGAAAGGAAAGTTCATAAAATCTGATCTGACCCGAAGTTCCCAGTGCAGAGACTTGGACGGCAGCCCACAGTGGCCTGACTGTGCACGAAACACAAGACAGAAGCAAGCTAGGGAAAGCCAATCTGTCTCAACTTCAAGGCCAAAGGAAATTTGGGGTGGACAACAGGGGGGAGACACAAGGAAGTTAGACAAGGGAGTACTCAAAGGAAACAGGGAGTCTCATTCTGACAATGAAATTGACCTTCTAGACATTACTCGGAAGAAACCGATTAGAAGACAGAAAAGGATCTGACAAGGGTGGGGGAGGAGGGTGGGAAGGCAGGTGGGAGGATAGGAGGAGGGCGGTGTCTAAGGGTTTGGGGGCAGGGAGACAGGAAGTAGGGTCAGAAAAATCTGTTGAAATCGGAATAGATCAGATCTCCAGGGAGAGGACAGAGCCTCGCCCCCCCCCCCCCCCGCTTCGGGTTTGAGAAGAAATACTGCTCAATTACTGACCTGCCTCTTTCTCTCTGGTCATGTGACCCACGCTAATCTAACAGCTTCCCATCAACCAAGTTCCTTATGATTTTTTGACTCCCCCTCCTTTTTCTGTGTGAAATTGGCTGCAACAATTGCTAAAACTCCTCTTGCACCAGGAAACCCCAAGAAACCTTCTAGCAGAAGCCAGGCAAGGCAAGCCAGCTTAGTGTGTGCACGCAGGGGCAAGATGTTGGGGCTTGGATTTGAGGAGCAGCTGTGGGGTGAGGAGGAGGCTGGAGGATGTCTGTCAGAACGGAAGAGTAACGATCAGACCCAGAGACTGGGACCCGTGGGTGAGGAAGGAACAGGAGTATGCATTCCTGACCAAGCAAGGGTTCCTCACCAAGTAGAAACGGAGTCACCTCCTGTAGAGGAGGAGGCCTGTATACAGTCGGAACACCGAGCTTAAGCTGTGCTTTCTGGGCTTCCATAAACGTGTGTCTAAAATTTGGAGGGGGAGGGCAGCCAGTAGAGCAAGGAACTGGCTTAGGTTCCCTCCTTAGCTACCCTAGCTCCCCCTTTTTGGTAGGACCCACAGACCCGGATCAGAGGAGAAGCAGGTAGAAGAAACCCTTGAACTTACCCAAGGAGGTAAGCTGATGGATTGGGAGGGTGGGGAGGTGGGAGGGGATGGAGAAGTGGGAGGGGGTGCGAAGGTGGGCACCTGAAGCTGAGGAGAGCCAGGGTTGGCAGGGCTTGTTTGCCTTCTGGAAGTTACCTTTTTCTCCCAAGACACACCTCACCTTCCTGATCTTTCCCAGCTTCTATGGCTGCCTTCCTCGCTCTCTCCCACCGGGCTTTGGCTCCCAGCCACGGCCAGCAGCAAGAAAGGGAACCGATCGCAGCTACTTCCTAATATCTGTGAGGCTACAGAGGAAAGGGGCCCTGGGAAGGAGAGGGGGAATTCCCGTGGGAAGTCGAGCTGGTCTCCCCCAGAGACACAGGATGGCAAATGTAATAACTGCAGCTTAATATCCCGCCCAAGGCTAAGTCAATAATTGCTCTGGGCAGTTCTGGCAGGTGGCTTGAGCAAGCGGTGGTGAAGAGCAGACAGCTTTAGTCTGGGGACGGGAGAGAACCAGAGAGGATGTGAACAGTCTGAACCCTGCGGAAAGAGGGTCTGCTGGCTGCGCGCTCTGCAGGTGTGGAGCTCCTGACCCTCCACCTTTCCACGATCTTCCAGAATGACCCCAGACTGGCACAGCTCCTTGATCCTCACGGCCTACATCCTCATCTTTCTTACTGGGCTCCCTGCCAACCTGCTGGCCCTACGGGCCTTCGTGGGCCGGGTTCGCCAGCCCCAACCTGCTCCTGTACACATCCTCCTGCTTAATCTGACACTGGCGGACTTGCTCCTGTTGCTGCTGCTGCCCTTTCGGATCGTGGAAGCAGCATCCAACTTCCGCTGGTACCTACCAAAGATCGTGTGCGCGCTCACGGGCTTCGGCTTCTACAGCAGCATCTATTGCAGCACGTGGCTGCTGGCGGGCATCAGCATCGAACGCTACCTGGGAGTGGCCTTCCCGGTGCAGTACAAGCTATCCCGCCGGCCTCTGTACGGAGTGATTGCTGCTCTGGTGGCCTGGATCATGTCCTTCGGCCACTGCACCATTGTCATCATTGTTCAGTACCTGAACTCAACGGAGCATGTGGGCGCTGAGAACCAGGTAACCTGCTATGAGAACTTCACCCAAGAGCAGTTGGATGTGGTGCTGCCTGTGCGGCTGGAGCTGTGCCTGGTCCTCTTTTTCGTCCCCATGGTTGTCACCATCTTCTGCTACTGGCGCTTCGTGTGGATCATGCTCACGCAACCCCATGTTGGGGCTCAGAGGCGACGCCGGGCGGTGGGCCTGGCTGTGGTGACGCTTCTTAATTTCCTGCTGTGCTTTGGACCTTACAACATGTCCCACCTGGTGGGGTTCTACTTGCGGCAGAGCCCCTCGTGGCGGGTGGAGGCTGTGGTGTTCAGCTCCCTCAATGCCAGTCTGGATCCGCTACTCTTCTATTTCTCCTCCTCCGTGGTGCGCAGGGCTTTTGGGAAAGGTTTGCTACTGCTCCGCAATCCGGGCTCCTCTGTGCTGGGCAGGGGAGCCAAAGAGACAGTGGAGGGCACCAAGATGGACAGGGGTGGGAGTCAAGCAGAAGGGGTACAGAGCTCCGACTTTGTCACGGAGTGAGTAGAGACCCCCCCGGATCTTCCCGAGCATCTGGGTCACCCAGAAGTTGGGCTGGTTAGCAGAGCTCCCGAGATTTGGTAAAAGAAAAAAGATTTAAAACAAAGAGAGAAAGACACCCCCACCCACCCATCTGCCACCACCCTCTCAGCTCAGCAGAACCGCTTGACTGAATTTTCCTGTCCTGAGAAGCATAGCTCCAGGATATAAGAAGAAATGGCTACACCTCTACATCCCTTTCACCCCTGGGAAAATACACTGTGTTTTCACAGAGGGGTCAGCGGCTCAGAAGCAAGGTGATTATTAATAGGAGTGCAGGTTATAAAAGTAATTTCTTTTTTTCTTCAAGCTTGGAAACACCGCCTAGAGACAGTGGTCTGGCTGGTGGTGCTAAAAAGAAGCCAATGGGCAAAGACTGGGGGGAGATGGTGGCAAGAAGAGGAAAGCTCCAAGCCACAGGCTTGCCGGGGGACAGGGCTCCCATCTCTGGTGAGCTTGGCCTTTCTATGTCTGATTGAGCTGCCCTCTGTACATGTGCTCCGCTGATTTTCGTATTTCGGTCTCGTCTCCTCCGTTACACTGGGATCTGGGTTACATGTTTATCCTCGGTGTCACTGCACCGGGACTAGGATGTGTCTTGGTACCCATCTGTCTGTCATTGACAATGAATGACCTGCCTGGAAGGATTTTTTTTAAAATCTGGTTTGACAGGTTAAAAATAAAGATTATGAAAGTCTGAAGCAAATGTTCATGGGTTTCGGCACATGCTTTCAAATGACAACATCGTGAGGGACAAGGGGGTGAGGGTACTGATGGGGCCCTGTTAGATATGGGTGAGCCCCACCAGGGGCTGCTGATCCATCAGGCAGCTTTGAACCTGTTCCTTCCTGCCCAGGCCTCAGTTCTCTCATATCAATCAAATCTAATGACCTGATCTTGATTCTCAGAACCCACAATAAGTAGGCTGTGGTGGTGTGTACCTATAATCCCAGCACTCTGGGGACAATGGGAGGTAGAGGTGGACCGAGCTGGGCCTGGGCTACAAACATAGCAGAGATGTGATCTACCTGCTCTTTACAAAGTGGGGGGAAAAACAGACTCCAAAGTTGTCTTCTGACCTCCACACACATGCTCGATGGCACACGCACACACACATATGCATACACACAGACACAAACACACAGGCACGCACGCACGCACGCACGTGCGCACACCCACACAATTAGTAAACTAAACTAAACTTATTTAGTTTTGAGGCCAGGTCTTACTGTGTAGCCTTGGCTAGTCATGAGCTCATTATAAAGACCAGGTTGACCTTGGATTTACAGAAACTCACCTGTCTCTACCTCTTGAGGGCTGGGGTTAAATCACGTCTGGTTAAAATAAAATAACTTCAAAGCTAACTATAGGCTGATGTGGCAGGAGAGAAACGTGGGCAGTGTTCTAGCTTACGGTGAGTCTGATGCGCCGTTGTGGCCTGCAGAAGAGCTCATCTGGGATCTGTCGGGATGGCTCGGTGGGCAAAGACATTTGTTGCCAAAGCCAATGACCTGAGTCGTATCCCCAGAACCCACACAGTGGAGAAAACTGACTTCCGCAGGTTGTTTTCTGATCTTCTCATGTGTACCGTGGAATGTGTGTACACAGTCAAGTGCACATGTAAACATACAATACCAATCAGCATAAAATAATTTTAAACCTCATTTGGTTTAGGCAGCATTAAAAGAAAGAACGAAAGTTAGGTTGGCAACAGCATAGCACCGCCCACTTAGGTCTGATCTGTAGCCTGCTTGGAACTGAGGGACAATTGTAAGCGCCATAACTCAGGGATTCAAGTGCTGTAAAATCAAATAGGACGCTGAGGGCCCCGGGAGTGTTAAAAACACTGCCTGCACAGACCGGAGTTTGGATCCCTAGAACTCACATTAAAAGGTCAGCTGTGTGGTCCACAGCTGTAATCCCAACACTCCGTGCTGAGTTTGCAGTCAGAGACAGGAAGATCCCCTGGAAGCGCATGAGCAAGCAGCTAGCCTGCAGATAGGACAGGAGACAACTTGCCTGGACAACGTGGAAGATGAGAACACACTCATGCTGCCACTCGCACCGTGGCACACCCGCCTCCCAAGGTCTCCAGGACAAATGGAGGCACAATCCTGCCAGCGTTCACGCTGGGGAACCAACGAGTTTATTGGGCTCCCTTACAGAACATAGGTGGAGGCTTAATTACAAGGGTGTGGGTGCTGCTCCCCCCCCCAACAAACAGGCTGTCCCTGAAAAGCCTTTATCCAGCTTACCTACAGTCACACGGATGGAGACTCTCTCCTCACCGCCCCTCAACACTCCACTATATAGCCTGGCCTCTTTCTAAGGCCTCACTCAATTAAAGCAGGGTTGCATACAACCAGTGGTAGAGAGAGGCTGGGTACTCAGGCCAGGGTCCTCCATGAAGGGTATGGACAGTCAAGAAGGCCAGCTGGAACCACCTTTTCGCAAGGGTGAGCAGCTCAACTCCATAAGGTGGTGGCTGCTTGCCACAGAGGTTTGGGCCCTGCAATACCCAGATCTCCACACACAGAGCAAGTGTATAAAACATCAGCTGAGATAAAAGTCAACAGCACCGGGAACTCAGTTATCACTGAGTTCCATATTATCATATGGATGGCGTTAACTGCTAGGTGCTGTGACAGAGAAGGGCTGGAGAGGGTTCCGATAAAGGTCAGTAGGTCAGGAGATCAAATCTTAGGCCTTACCCTACAATGCCTGCTCTTTGCACCCAAGTGGGCCAGCTGTTTGGCCACGTGGCTGGGACATAATAAGACCTGTTTTATGGAAGTCGCTGTTCAGTGTGGCCCCACAGGGTAGAGCAAAGAGCACAACGAGAAGTCATGTTTCCAGCAGCTGGGGATGTTCAAACACATTAACTTCCCCAGGAAGACGGTCACTCCCAATTTCCATGAATGTTGGAGGAAGAGACAGCAAACACACACACACACACACACACACACACACACACACACACAGAGAGAGAGAGAGAGAGAGAGACAGACACTGAGTAAGTGGACCCCCGATAGGCACTGAGCCAGCTAATTGCTGGCCCTCCAGCCCTGCCATCCCTGGGTCCTTAGCGACCACATCCTCATTTTGCTAACTGTGAGCTATTTTCCTGTTGCTAGGACAAGACATAAGAAAGGAAGCCCTTGGAAGCTGGCTCGGTGGTGAGAGTCCTTGTCCTGCAAGCATGAAGACTTGAGTTTGAATCCCTAGCAGATGCATAAAATGCCAGGCGTGGCTAAGTGTGCTTGAAGGACAGAGACAAACAGATCCTGAGAGCTCATTAGCCAGGAAGCCTAAGCAAAATGGTGGGTTTCTGGTTCAATGAAAGTCTCTGTCTCAAGGCAATAAGATGGACAGAGGAGGACACCCAAAGTCTTTCTCTGGCCTCTCCGAATATACACACCACCCTCAGGTGCATACGCTACACACACATACACACACACACATACACAGCACACACAGCACACACATACACACATATATATAATACACACATAAACACAAATAGCACACACACACACAACACATACACTGCACACACATCCACACCATACACACACTGCAGCACATACTCACACAGCACACACACATACATACACAGACATGCCATCAAGTGCATACACCACACATACAGCACACACAGCACACACATACACACACATACACAATACACACATAAACACAAATAGCACACACATACATACACACACACACTCAGAGAAGGGTTTATTTTGGCTGGTGGTTTGAGGGGAAACAGTCCATCATAGTGGGGACACAAGGCAGAAGGAACATGAAGTGGCTGGTCACATGATAGCAATAGTCTGGAAGCTTGAATTATGGAGCTTAACTAGTTTTCTCCTCTTTATTCGGCTCAGGATCCCCCAACCCATGGAATGGTGTGCCCCCTCAGCCTTACACACACACACTCACAATGAGTCTTCTGGAAACACAAAGTTAACAATGAAATTTGACCATCAATTGCACTAATCGTGCACAAAATGGAGTCACTTCAGTCTCAGTGTGGCCCAAGGAAAATCAAAGAAGTCAAGTCTGAGATAGTAGGGAGGAGCAGTAGACACTTGCTCACAAGGAATTAGCTCACAATGAATTCACGATCACTCCTGGTGTTGTCAGCCCAAGGTCACTGGAAAATAGGGACATTTTTGTGCAACAAGTGTGGATCGATTACCTCAGAAATACCTGGTGACTTAAGCAGTCATGGTGGCCTGTACCTGTAACCCCAGGACTTGAGAGGAAGCCAGGGCAGGGACTTGGCTTCACGGGTCAAATGCTTGCTAGGCAAGCATGAGCACCTGGGTTTAGATCCCCGGAGTCCACATACAGCACCAGGAGGATGCCCTCTTCTGGCTTCTGTAGGCACTGCATGCACTGGTGCACAGACATACATGGTGCATACACATGCAGACGGAACACACACACACAATAAAAGTAAATAATGTTTTAAATTCAAAATAAAACTAATGTGGAGATCCATTGAGAAGGACAGCCAGTGTTGACCTCTAGCCCACACATGCACTCACACGAATGAGGGTGCTCCCCCTGCACAGGGATATGCACATACCACACACATTTAAAAAAGAAAAAAAAAAGAGCAAAAGGGGAGTCAGAGAGAGACACAGAGACAGGCAAAGAGAGAGAGACCAGCAGAGACTCACAGAGATAGAGACAGACAGAAAGACACAGAGAGAGAGAATGAGAAAGAAATACAGAGACAGAGACACAGAGAGAGACAAGAAAGACAGACAGAGAGAGAGAGAGAGAGAATATGCATTTACTATACTAAACATCTTAGAGAGGCACAACACTGAGCCTTGGCTGTCCCCCACATTACTCATGGAGCATGGGGCTCTCTGGGAGCTGTGGCCAACTGCCACAAGGAAGAATCACACAGCATACATAGCCTAAGAAAAGTCGAAATTTATAATTAATGTCAAGTTTCTACTGAATGTATTGCTTTCACACCAATTTTGTAAAGTCTAAAAATATTGACTTGGGTCATCTCAGATCTGGGGCCCTCTTAGAAGCTAGACACTTTGCTGAGGGGATGGAGATCCTGAAGACACAACAAACAAGGTTCCTGCACAACCCGGAGGCTTCTGTGGTCAGGGAAGAAAGTAGTTTAAAATCAGTTTAGTTGAGCGGTGGTGGCACACACCTTTAATCACAGCACTTGGGAGGCAGAGGCTGGCGGATTTCTGAGTTTGAGGCTAGCCTGGTCTACAGAGTGAGTTCCAGGACAGCCAGGGCTACACAGAGAAACCCTGTCAAAACAAAAAAACAAAAAAAAAAAAATTAAAGCTGGAGAGATGATAGTTCGATGTCTAAGAAAATATACTTGCAGTAGAGTGAGTTCAGTGCCCAGCACCCATGTCTGGTGGGCACGGTTACCTGAAACTCCAGCTCCAGGGGATCTGATGCCCTCTTCTGGCCTCCTTGAGCACCTGCATACATGTGCATATACCTGCACACAGACACACAGACACACAGACACATAATTAGTTAAAAGTAAAATAAAATCTTAAGAAGAGAAAAAAAAAAAGACTCAAGAACCAAAAAAGGGTTAACAAGTAAGTCTTCGTATTGGGGCTGTGGAGGGGAGGGGAGGTTAGAGGGGAGGGAAGGTCCCAGTTAGCAGCTATTGTCAGTTTCTGGGTCCTTCCTATAAAACACCTCT